CTGATTCGCTCATTTCGCTGTCAATCAAAAAGGGACTCAGCCTCAGACAGATCATCCAATCATCATGCAGAAGCCGAGTGTCCGGGCCAGCCCACTGCCCCATAGACCCCCAGAGACGCTGAGCGTCCGATGGGCGGGACAAAGCCCAGCATTTATCCAATGACCGTCTAGTTTCGCTGCAGTGGAACAACCCACTCTGTGCTTCCCCACTGAAGTCAGTAGACGCTCGGCGTCTGCACTGTGTAAAGCGCTGTGACGCTACGGGGATGAATGAGAAGGAAGTCGTGTCGGTTACCTGTGATAAGTAGCTGATTCTGAACAAAAGATGAACGTGTTCTAGCGCATATTTAGTCAATGAAATGTACACACAACAGCACATATTTGACCACTTATTTTGTTGACATTTTAGGGGACGCTGAGCTTCCCCTGCATCTTAGAGCAATCGCCACTGATATATACACACACACATAAATCTGGATCTATGGATTTCGTGTTTCTGTTGTTTCTACATGTATGTGGCTCTACTGTGGTCAAACTACAATGGTGCATCCCTTTAAATGTTGCTGTAACAAGAAATTGTAGGACGGCATTATCTCCTTTCCTGTGGTAACAGAAGTTCCAGTATCTCCTTTGCTAAAGGAGATAAGATAGGAAGCAGTGGAGCTCCTTTCCTCAGCTCTGATCACGGCTGTAAACTGTAAAAACTGTGACTGATTGAACTGAAAACTCAGAGGAAACATGTTCTCATCATGTTTTATAAGATCAGTGAAGTTCTTGGTCTTTGAACAGAGAAAACTGAATCAGAACAGAGAACCATGTCACTGACATGTTCACCACCTGTTCACTTCAGCTACATTTCTCTGCTGCTGCTCTTTCAACATGCAAATTAACATTACATCACAGACAAAGGTTGGAGCCTGAAACGGCTCCACCTGTCCACCTCCTGCCTCTGACCAGCCCCCCCCCCCCCCCCCTCCCCACACACACACACACACACACACACACACACACACACACACACACACACACACACACAGTTTAATCTACAGCAGCCTGAAGCCTCTGTCACCCTGCAGCTGAAACTGGGCCAAAAAGAAGACCTCCCTCCCCCTCCTCTCTTTCTGCCTGTGTGTGATCAGCAGCTGAAGTTGCTGCCGACAGCAGACTGAGGATCGACTGTGACTCTGCTGCTTCATCCTGTGACACAGTGATAATCCTCCTGTGATCTCTGACAGACTGTCATCCAACTTCAACCTGAACACAAACACAAGGTCACAGTCGTCCTCCTTCCTCTGCTGCTGCTAATCACGCTTCCTGTTCATTACGCTTCCTGTTCTTCCTATTCATCATGCTTCCTGTTCATCACGCTTCCTGTTCATCAGGCTTCTTGTTCTTCCTGTTCATCACGCCTCCTGTTCTTCCTGTTCATTACGCTTCCTGGTCATTACGCTTCCTGGTCATCACGCTTCCTGTTCATCACGCTTCCTGTTCATTACGCTTCCTGTAACAGCCCCACCCTGGTCATTACGCTTCCTGTTCATTACGCTTCCTGGTCATTACGCTTCCTGGTCATCACGCTTCCTGGTCATTACGCTTCCTGTTCATTACGCTTCCTGTTCATCACGCTTCCTGTTCATTACGCTTCCTGTTCATTACGCTTCCTGTTCATTACGCTTCCTGTTCATTATGCTTCCTGTACATGTGATAAATGACACATGTGATAAATGACACGTGTGATAAATGTTAGCATGATAAATGACAGGCAGCTCAATGTTGACCGAGGTGCCGGTCACCAGGGGGACACGGACGAAGATGTGGACACGTCTGACTGTCAGGACAAAGACACTTCTGAGGTACCAGCTGAGATCCAAACTGATCGCCTTTCAGCTTGGATCTTCAGACCCTGCAGAGTCCTGATCCTGTTTCAGCTGACACCTGAAGAGTCTGAAGACTGGATCTGAATGAATCATATTCAGTGTTGTTGTACCATGAAGGACAAGATTTGGGATGGGTATCGTTAACATTTTAACAGTACTACTACTCTTGCTGATACTGCTCATCGATCCAGTACTTTAACAGTACTCTTACCGATACATTTTGAGGAAGAAAAAAAAACTTGAACATTATTTGGTTCTCTCTGCCATTGTTATCTATCTAAAGGTAGGCTACGAGCCTGAGCTGGTGTGTGCGCTGCACTGTCTGGTGTGTGTGTGTCACTGGAACAACAGCCCCACCCCCCTGCCCTCCGCTCACACAAACAGCAGGCAGAGAGAGAGAGAGAGAGAGAGAGAGAGAGATCTCTTAGCGAAATACATCAAACATGAACGGATATTTGACGGAGTTGGTGAAATAAATGTGCAAGATAACGTTTATCTAGCCGAGAAAAAAAAAACAGCTTATTGGTACTGCGTTCTTGAATAATGTTGCCCCAGGCCTGTTCAATACCGGGGCTCGGTACCCATCGTTAGACGAGATTAAAGCAAGGAAACCCCTGAAATCCTGCTGCAGCTTTAACTGGATTGTTTTCAGTGTGAAATGAAAACCCTTGCAAAGATAATCTCATCAATACACACTCAGGCTTTTACTCTGAAAGCCCCCAGCAGGAAGTGCTCACACTTTCTGGGTCAAAGAGGGACAAATAAATAAATAAAAAATAAAATAAAATAAAATAAAAAGATGCTGGTCACCAGGTTTGATTTTAGATTCTGACTGAAACTGAGGAAGAGGTGGAAAAGGAGGAAGAAGAGGAGGAAGCGGAGGAGGAGGAGGTAGAGGAGGAGGAGGAGCAGTTTATTCAGTCAACTTGTGTAAATTAATGAGAAAAGATAAATTTACAATGTAGAGTTCGACAGTGCAGAGTTTTACAGTGTACAGTTTACAGTGTAGTTTAATAGTGTAGCATTCATAGTTTAGTTTCACAGAGTAGAGTTTTACAGTGGAGAGTTCACAGTGAAGAGATTAACAGTGTAGCCTACATTTTTTAGTGTAGAGTTTACAGCGTAGAGTTTAGTTTTACAGTGTATAGTCTCTAATGTCAGACAGACTAATCAGGTTTGATGTCAAAATCAGATGTTGGTTCATTGACAGTGTGAAATTCAGTGGATGTTCAGCCAACGTTCTGCCGACATTCAGATGATAATCCGCCGACGTCAGGTTTTGACTACTTAGTCAGCTGTCATCAGTTATTCTACGTCACACTCACACTGACTTTGAATTTTGGTCACATGACGTCACAACCTACATTCAACCAAATATCAATGTCTAACTGACACTGGTGGAGGCATTCTGCAGGACTGAGTCTGACTTCAACCAGACACCTCATCAATGAAACTGATCAGAGACCACAGACCTCAGAACAGCTGATCTGATCATCTAATCAATAACTAAACTCTTTGCTCTCTTGAAGACGACATGACTCTGTTTTACTCTGATGTTACTGTGTGAGCCGGATTCACACCAGACCCAGGACCTGGTTCAGGTCTCAGACGTTCAAATGCAGCGTCACCTTCACACACCGGAATCAAACCTGCCTCCCACCCCACCCCACCGAACCCCATCCCCACCCCACCCCACCCCATCCCACAACCCACCCCACCGAACCCCATCCCCACCAAACCCCACCCTCCCCACCCAACCCCACTCCCCACCCCACCCACCCAACCGTAACCCCATCCCCCACCCCACCCATCCCACCCCACCCCAAAAAAACCCCATCCCACCACCCCACCCCACCGAACCCCATCCCCACCCACCCCCCATCCCCACCCGCCACCCCACCCCCCACCCACCCCATCCCCACCCCACCCCACCCCGATCCCCCACCCACCCCACCAGAACCCCATCCCACCCGACCCCAACCCCACCCCATTCCACCCCACCCCACCGAAACCCCATCCCCACCCACCCCACCCTCCCCCCCCACCCCACCCCACCCCACCCACACACACCCACCCCACCGAACCCCATCCCACCCACATCCCCACCCCATCCCCACCCCACCCACCGAACCCCACCCCACCGAACCCATCCCCACCAAAAACCCACCCCACCCACCCCACCCCACATCCCCACCCCACACCCCATCTCACCCCACCAAACCCCATCCCACCCCATGGACTGGAAAAACATGTAACGGCACTGAACCAAGTATAGGCACTGAAAAATAACTCACATTCATTGAAAAAAATTACAATCTTACAAACTTATTATCGTATTTTATTTTGATGTTTTTGCATTATGATGTATTTTTACTCTGAAAACCAGCGACAGACAGAATACTGTCAGAGTAAAAACACTGTCACTGAAAAAAGGCAGACATGAAGAAAAAATCAGGAGATTGGCATTGAAAAATACATCATAATGCAAAAACATCAAAATAAAATACGGTAATAAGATTGTAATTTTTTTGAATTTCTGTGATTTATTTCTCAGTGGATTTTTTTCTGTGCCTATACTTGGTTCAGTGCCAATAGGCCTACACGTTTTTCCAAACCAAGTGTTTAAATGCCAATGTTTCCTTATCTAGTTCAGATTTTATTTTACTGTCACTGTTTTAGCCCTATATTACATTTGCTGCAGCTAAAAAAAACCTCGTATCTCTACAAAGTGAACTCTGTTATTTCAGCTGCAGGAACATTTTACAAACAGATAGAGATAGAAGGTTTTCATCTGACTGTGACCTAATTGTTGAGTTTGTGGGGGATCCTTTGATTTGGACTGGATCCTGATTCAGATGCAGAGTCCAGAAACACACAGAGGTCAAACAGCTCAGAGCCTGACAGAAGTTACAACCCCCCAGAACCCAGAACCAGATCCCGGAACCCAGAACTGGTGTCAGCAGCTGCATGTGCGCCATGTGTTACACAAACCTCCAGACACCAAACAGGTCAAGGTCAAACAACCGACCTCACACACAGACCGGGACAGACCGGGCTGAACCGGACCTTGTCCCTGCTCCTGGAACGCACGTGCAGTTCTAGAGGTAAAGATGAGACCCGTACCTGCACGAGGAGCGGCTCTCCGTGTTCGATGACGCTGAGGACCGGGATCTCCAGGAACGAAGCCATGAAGTCCACCTGTAGCAGCTCGTCGCGGTTCTGCGGGAAGGCCAACACCGCGGACACTCCCTGCACCACCACGCCCTGACACACGCACCGGAACAGGGACTCCGGGTCCGCGGCAGCCGGCTGCCGGGACACCAGCTCCAGGCTCAGGTTGTATGGCAGGAAGTTGTCCCGCTCCCGGTCCGGGTCCGGATACTGGTCCCGCTTCAACGCGGCAGCGGCGCGATTCAGCGCCGCCTGGACCTGAACGCGAGCCGCCCGCTGCGCCGGCAGGAGCGCACCGACGCGCACCGTGTGTCCGATCTGCGCCAGGACGTGGCACGGCTGCGGGTGGAGGAGGCAAGGTGGCACGAGCAGGAGCTGCAGGAGGAGGAAGGCTCGGAGAGTCCGGGACCAGGAGGAGGAGGAGGAGGTGAAAGACATCCTGCCGCGCTCTCAGCATCGCTCTGCCGCTCCTCCGTTTACTCCTTCTGCTCCGCCGAAACACCGAGAAGCTGCTGCTGCTGCTCCTCCTGCTGCTGCTGAGGGGAGACTGAGGGGGGAGGAGTGAGGAGGCGGGAGGGGAGGTGGCGTCCCAAAAGCAGGAGGTGCAGGGGAGGAGGTGGAAGAAGAACACGAAAAAAAGAGGAAGATAAAGTGAGGGTGGGGGAGCAGGGTGAAGGAAAGGAGGTGCTAAAAGGGTGAGGAGGTGTAGAAAGAAATGGAAGGCGGGGGGGGGGGGTAACAACAAGGAGATGAGGAGAAGAGATCAGGAGAGGAAGGGGTTGAAGAGGAGGAGGTGGGAGAGAGGAAGTGAAAGTGAAGAAGAGTTGGAGGAGACGGTTAGGAGGAAGTGGAGTTTAAAAGTGAAAGGGAGAGAAGAGAGGAGGTGTAGAGAGGGAAAAGTGAGGGTAGGGGTAGTAGAGGAGACAGATAAACTTAGAGGTGATGGTGAAAGTGAGGAGGAGGAAAGGTAAAGGAAAAGGAGGTGAAGGAGAAGTAATGAGAAGAGAAGCAGGATGAGGTGTCATCTCTTAACCAGGAGGTTCAACAGAGGAGATGAGGAGAGGAGGTGGAGGGTAGGAGAGGATAGGGGGCAGAGAAAATGTTGGGAGGAAGAGAAGAGGAAGAGGAGTTGTGGGTGAACGTTTTATTTTGAGACTGGTATTCCTCAACCTTTCAGAATAAAAGCAGGTCATTACAACTGTAGTGTAAGTTACTGTCAGTGATGTAATTATCACAACAATAATAATCAATCACATCTAAATTATTCTGATCAGTAAATAAACTTTGTTTTCACATATCAATAATATGATAATCACACAGTGTTACAGTGTTAGTCACATGACTAATCAGAAATCAATAGTTTATCTGCGAGGACAATCAGGTTATCAATGAGACAATGTTACAGATCAGGAAGTAACAGTTACAGGTCAGGGTGTTACAGGTCAGGGTGTTACAGGTCAGGGTGTTACAGGTCAGGGTGTTACAGGTCAGGGTGTTACAGGTCAGGGTGTTACAGGTCAGGGTGTTACAGGTCAGGGTGTTACAGGTCAGGGTGTTACAGGTCAGGGTGTTACAGGTCAGGGTGTTACAGGTCAGGGTGTTACAGGTCAGGGTGTTACAGGTCAGGGTGTTACAGGTCAGGGTGTTACAGGTCAGGGTGTTACAGGTCAGGGTGTTACAGGTCAGGGTGTTACAGGTCAGGGTGTTACAGGTCAGGGTGTTACAGGTCAGGGTGTTACAGGTCAGGGTGTTACAGGTCAGGGTGTTACAGGTCAGGGTGTTACAGGTCAGGGTGTTACAGGTCAGGGTGTTACAGGTCAGGGTGTTACAGGTCAGGGTGTTACAGGTCAGGGTGTTACAGGTCAGGGTGTTACAGGTCAGGGTGTTACAGGTCAGGGTGTTACAGGTCAGGGTGTTACAGGTCAGGGTGTTACAGGTCAGGGTGTTACAGGTCAGGGTGTTACAGGTCAGGGTGTTACAGGTCAGGGTGTTACAGGTCAGGGTGTTACAGGTCAGGGTGTTACAGGTCAGGGTGTTACAGGTCAGGGTGTTACAGGTCAGGGTGTTACAGGTCAGGGTGTTACAGGTCAGGGTGTTACAGGTCAGGGTGTTACAGGTCAGGGTGTTACAGGTCAGGGTGTTACAGGTCAGGGTGTTACAGGTCAGGGTGTTACAGGTCAGGGTGTTACAGGTCAGGGTGTTACAGGTCAGGGTGTTACAGGTCAGGGTGTTACAGGTCAGGGTGTTACAGGTCAGGGTGTTACAGGTCAGGGTGTTATAGAGCAGGGTGTTACAGGTCAGGGTGTTACAGAGCAGGGTGTTACAGGTCAGAGTGTTATAGACAAGGGTGTTACAGGTCAGGGTGTTATAGAGCAGGGTGTTACAGGTCAGGGTGTTATAGAGCAGAGTGTTACAGGTCAGGGTGTTACAGGTCAGGGTGTTATAGGGCAGGGTGTTACAGGTCAGGGTGTCATAGAGCAGGGTGTTACAGGTCAGGGTGTTATAGAGCAGAGTGTTACAGAGCAGGGTGTTACAGGGCAGGGTGTCATAGAGCAGGGTGTTACAGGTCAGGGTGTTACAGGTCAGGGTGTTATAGAGAAGGGTGTTACAGGTCAGGGTGTCATAGAGCAGAGTGTTACAGGTCAGGGTGTTACAGGTCAGGGTGTTACAGGTCAGGGTGTTACAGGGCAGAGTGTTACAGGTCAGGGTGTTATAGAGCAGGGTGTTACAGGTCAGGGTGTTATAGAGCAGGGTGTTACAGGTTATGGTGTCATAGAGCAGAGTGTTACAGGTCAGGGTGTTATAGAGAAGGGTGTTACAGGTTATGGTGTCATAGAGCAGAGTGTTACAGGTCAGGGTGTTACAGGTCAGGGTGGTTGCCATTTTCAAAAAGGAGACTGCAGGGTGTGCTCTCATTATCAAGGTATTACACATTGCTTAGCCTGTGGAGAAAACTGATGTTACAGTGCTAAAGGGGACTGACTGATTGTCAAACCTCAGATCCAGGAGTAATGTGGATTCCATCCTGGCCATGGAACAGTGGACCAGCTCTTTACCCTGGCAAGGTTACTTCAGGGGTCATGGGAGTTTGCCCATCTATAGTCTACATGTGTTTTGTAGACTTGGAGAAGGTCTACGACCTGGTCCCTCAGGGGATTTTGTTGGGGACCCTGCAGGAATATGGTGTCCCGGGGTCGTTATTACGAGCTATCCGTCCCTTGTATAGCCAAAGTGAGAGCTGTGCCCTCAGCCATTAGTCAAACACCTTCCTGGTGGGTATTGGTCTCCACCAGGGTTGTCCCTTGTCACCAATCCTGTCTGTGATTTTGGAGGACATGATTTCAAGGTACAGCCAGGGGGAGAAGTGTGTCGGTTTGGGAAATGATGTTCTTTTGGCCTCGTCAGACCAGCACCTTCAGAATGCACTGGGATGGTTTAAAGCAGAGTGTGAAGCGCTTGGGATGAGAGTCTGAGGCCTTGGTTGTCCAACAGTGGACAGCTCTCTTTGGGTTGAGGTGAGTTTCTGCCCCAAGTGAAGGAGTTGAAGTATCTCAGAGTCTTGTTCATGAGTGATAGTAAGATAGAGCAGGAGATCAACAGATGGATCCATGCGGTGTCAGCAGTAAAGAAGTTGTTGTACCAGACCATCATGGTGAAGAGGAGCTGAGTCTGAAGGCAAAAGGTGTCTGGACTCAGCCTCAAAGATAGAGAGAGGAGCTCTGATATTCGACAGAGCTGCTCTGGAGTTGCTGCTCTTTCATGTCGAGAGCAGCTGGTTGAGGTGGTTAAGGCGTCTAGTCTGGATAGTGGACAGTGGAGGTCTTCCATTAGAGGTCTTCCAGTGAAGGTCTGCCGGTGGAGGTCTTCCGGTGGAGTTCTTCCGGACATGTCCAACTGGTAGGAGGTCTGGGGGTAGAACCAGAACATTCTGGGAACTCCTCAGGACCCTCCAGGAGCTGGAGAGCAATGCTGGCATGTAGCACACAGCTGCAGGTGTTTGGGGTTGTTGTGAGCTAGTTAAGGTTAGTAACAGTTAAAAGGTAGTGGCGTTAGTTACAGGTGTCTGATGGTTGTTAGTGGTTAAGTTTAGTTAAGGGTTACCTCAGGTTAGCTGGGGCTAGTTAAGGGTAGTTGAGGGTGCTTGAGGGTAAATGTAATTAATATTAATTTACGACAGGGTGGTTTGTGGCAAGTTAGGGTTGGTTAATCATGGGTTAGTTAATAGTAAATGGGACTAGTTGAAGGTAGTTATGTTAGTGATGTATAATAAAGAGTTATGGTAACTGGGGTTTGTGAAGGGTAGCTGGGCGAGTTAGTATGAGGTAGTTATGAGAAGTTAGTGGTGGTCATGGGATAGTTATGGGTTAGTTATAGTTAGTGATGGGATGATGCATCACAGGTTCAAACAAACAGCAGACAGAGACTTTTATAACAAAAGGCTTTTATTTTATAAACAACAGAAATCATCAGAGACAGAGTGTGTGTGTAACTATATGTATATGTTTATGTGGGGTGTGTGTGTGTGTTTATGTGGGCTTGGTGAGTAGCTGACTGGAGAAGTCGTACAGATCTTTGTTAATTTTCTTCAGAGTCTGAACTTCTTCTTCCAACTCTGCAACTCGAACCTTTGTGTTTTCACCGTCACCGAACACCGACTGGAACACACACACACACACACACACACACACACACACACACACACACACACACACACACACACACACACACCATTAAGTACATCAAAGAAGTACACCCACTATCAGACTGTTTAAGCTGGTTTCACACATTAATTTTTTTTAAAAAACTTCCCACCTTGTACTGTTTGTGTTTTGGTCTGATTTTAAAAGAAAGGTCTAATGTCAAAATAATTTTTTTTTTGGTTTAAACCTGACAGAACACTTCCCAGCATGCAGTGTGTTTGGGTTCCCGTCTTCCACTTTTATTTTGGAGATTTCTTTGTTTAATCGTGACAAATCTTTGTGATGTGACCTGTTGAATTGTGGGAATGTTGGACAGAAGAAATCACACTGGACTCTACTGAGTCTAACATGCTCTCACCTGAGGGCTAAGCCCTGCCCCCTCACCTTGTCAGTCACAGCATTCATCAGCGAGTTCAGCCTATCAGCTTTCTGCAGGTACGTCGCTTCTTCCTCCTGAAACCGCCAAAATAAAACCATCAGAGAAATATTTCATATTTCTGGAAAAACAACATCTGCAGTCTGAGACTTCAAAATAAGACGCCACACTCACACTCCAGTGTGTTCACACCGACAGGTACAGAAACATGAAGTGAGCCCGGCAGAAACCTAAACGGTCGCCATCTTGGCTACGTAAAAGCGCGGGGAGGACAGGTCATCTGCGCCAGTGGCGGCGTGATTTCCATGTCACATGACACAGAGGAAACAGGGAAGTAAAACGTTCAAGTCAAGTGACCACAA